GAAAATGAAAATGAAAATGAAAATAAAAGAAAACATTGATAATTCAAAAAAAAAAACAAAAAAAACAAAAAAAAATGAGATAAGGAGATTGCTAAACTATGCCTCCTTAAAAGAAGAAAAGAGAAAATTGTTTACATAAAAGAAATCTTATCTTTTATTTGCTTTTGCAGATTGGTTTTTAAAGGCATGGGGATTTCCCGCCCAGATGCTGCAATTGGAAAATGTCGAATGATTCGCCACATGAGAGACACTAAAAACGAGCCCAATCCACAGAGGTAGGTCCTTCATGCTGCTTCTACCCGCACAGATCCAAGTAGCCTTTATTAACTTTCTTCTGATCCTCCGGAAATAGATATTTGATCATGAAATAGCCTTATTTTTATTTATATAAATATATAGGGATCCTTTAAAATACTAAGTCTGTCTTTTAGGACTATAAAAAATCCTGGGATGATGTTCAATAAAGCCATTTTAGAAGACAAGGAATGCAATACTTCTGATGTGTTTTGAACAGCCTCTGTTGTGTATTCACAACTGGAAAACAAAACTTAGCAACATTTTGTTTGTTATATTTATATCCTGTCTTTTATTCAGGAATTCAAGGTAACATATATAGTAAACTTTCTTCCCATTACCTCCAACAACTTTTTGAAGTAGTCTGGACTGGTTCAAAGAAAGATCTATGATTAATAGTAGACTAGAACCTGGGTCTGCCCAGCACAAGTCCAACAACATAATCAGTTTCAGCTGAATTCTAAATTCTCATAATCAAAAGTGGAGCCAAAGCAAAAACATAGTTTCCATAGTTGGACTACTACATATAACAAAAGAGTCAGCTTGGTCTAGTGGTTAAGCACCAGGCTGCAAACTGGGGGACTGTGAGTTCAAGTACTGCATTAGCCATGAAAGCCAACTAAGTGACCTTAGGCCCGTCACTCTCTTTCAGCCTAGCCTACCTTACAGGGTGGTTGTTGTGGAGAAAATAGTAGGAGGAAAGTATATTGGATATGTTTGCCCACTTGAGTTATTTGTAAAAATGATAAAGGCAGGATACTAATTAAAGAAAAAGTATAGCAAGAGCACTTAGACTTATATACCTCTCCATAGTACTTTACAGCACTCTCAGTTTATAATGTCAGCATATTGCCCCCAATAATCTGAGTCCTCATTTTACCGATCTCTGAAGGATGGAAGGCTGAGTCAAGCTTGAGTCCGTCAGGTTTGAACTCTAAGCTTTAGGCAGACTTTGCCTGCAATACTACATTCTAACTACTGCTCTACCACCAAATGTATGTTATATATCAGTAATTCTGTTCTATGAGCACAGACTTTTTGCCACTAAATTTTTAACCTTTTGAGTACAGAACTTTTTATATTCTTCTTCTGAGAAACGCTTAGCAAAAATATATATGTAAGAGGGAAGTGAAATACAAAATACAATTTTATGCAAATCAATTAACATTTGCAGAAGGCCAATGGCGATACTAATCACAAATTGATATTTACCAACTCTGTCTACCTTATTTTCACAGGTTTAACAAAATTGCTCATACAAAGGAAACAATGAAATCTGATGGTCTAAACTCTCTGACTTACACCGTAATAAAAACTGATAAATTTCAATTATATACAAAAATCACAGTGAATATTGGATCACCAAAAAGCTAATGTGGCAGAAATGCAATAGAAGACTTGGAATACCCAAAAAGTGACAATTCAACTTTTCAGCATTTTATAAATGATTTTATGCAATCAACTTGAAAGACAGACACCTGTTTTGTCATCCTGAGACCTTGCAATTGGCAGACAAGTGAGAATTTTAACCCCAGAGTTTGCTTTTTTTCATTTTTAAAAACTTTATAAACGATAAATAGAAGTTGTAAATATATGAATTTTCAGGGAATGGTTGGAGACTTAGGTGCTCACTCCCCTTGGAAATTTTCCCATACAAGTGTCACAAAAAAGAATGAAAGTTGTATTGAAGCATTCTTTTTTTTTCTTTTCAAAATGTTCTCTTTTATGTTAGGAAGCTAACCTAAGAAGGATTCCTAGTGGATAGAGGCCTATGTATTTGATGGGCATTCTCTCCACTTTAAAATAATGAGGGTCACAATTTGAGAACGTTTTTGTTTCCAAATTGTGAAGTATTCTGCAGTGGTAAGTCATTTCCCTTTCTTCCTGCTCTTTTCCCAATTTAATTTAAAAATTGGTCACTGTATGAAAATTCTGTGGGTACAAATGGAAGGATTGGAAAATGCTGCTAAAGTGGTTTGAGTTTACATACTTTGATTTATCTTCCCCAAATCATGTCAAAATTGTTCCTTCTTGTCTGAAATCTTCCATGGGGAGAACAGGAACTAGAAACCTCAAAACAAACAGCTTTGCATTCTGTTCTGCTGGCATGGAGATTTAAATAATGCAGGCCTCTTTGCCCAACAGTGTATCAGCAAGCCAAAATCTTGAAACCATGGTGCTTGCTTTATCTAATAGGATCATAAGCCCAGTTTTTACATTGGGCTCACTGCACTATGGGATGAAAATATGAATGAAACTGTTTCATCCTATCCTTTCCTAACCCAATCATGTTAGGTTGCTAATTGAAGCTTCCTATTTTTTTCTGGATCTAATTGGGTGATTGTGGAGAAGTCAGGTTAAAATGTACACTATAACCCAGATCACGCAGCATCCCTTCCCTAAGATATAGAAAGGAGAAGGTGTGCATCCAAGTCTCACACTCGGTGCCAAGACATTGTGGTGTGACCTGCGAATATCAGCTTCAAAGGCACAAGGGATGCTGATAGGTGGAAGGCATCGTTCATGGGTTGGTCCATGGAGGCAGAATATTGCTAGGACAGCAATACATAAACTTTAGCTTGCTTATGTGCTGTTGCTGTTTGAAAATGAGCCACTTCTAGAAGTATTTTAAAAGGACAAAGCCTGTGTGTAATGCTCAAACAGATGGCCTGCAAAACATCTGCTTTGGAATTAAACTGAGCATTGTATTTATTCATGTGAGAAACATCTCTGTTCCTGTGGAACACTGATGGAGTCTCTCCCAAGCTAATTCTGCAGAGTTGACCTTGTCTTAGGAACAAGAACGGGGAAACGGATATTTGGCAAGAGTAAGACAGCATTACTCTCCAACTGACCAGAACCTGTCAACTCTGAGTCAGTCTGCTGGGATTTCCTCATCCAATGGGAAGTTATGCTTCCAGATTTTCTCTAAATAAAGGTGGTGGAGGGAGACAGTCAGTTTTCTAGATTAAAAAAAAAGGCAAAGTTCTTGCTTAGTTAAATCATATAGATGGGGCTCAGCCTTCCAACAAAGTTCAGATGAAGAATATCCTAAGCCTATTGGGACCATTTATTGCTTGAGATTGTATGTGTACGTGTGATATTGGGGTGTAAAGCCTACTCAGGTTGTAGTAGGAGCACAGAAATGAAAATGGCCCCAGGAACTAGACCCTGTAGTGAGCAGGACAAACTTTTTGAGAGCTAAAAGTACCAATACGTCTGGTTGTAAGCAATATGTTGCTTGCAAGGAATTCAGCCAGGCAGAGGTAAATAATAACCTGAAGATTTGGGGTGCATTAACTAGTTCATCAGAGACCTTCTATGGAAGTGGGGAGGACTTTTTAACTTTCTTTTTGCTCTACCTGGCAAAATTGTAGCAGAGAGGTGTGCCAATAACCAGTAGCATAAGCTCTAAGATAAGAGAACAGTTCAAATAGAATTTCCTCAGTGAAGCCAGTTCTTGATACTGCAAAATAAACATGATCCATTTAAGAACCAGGTTATTGCCAGATTGCCTTACATGTGAATGGAAAGTTTTGTTTCATGTTCTACTGCTCTAATGAAATCTTTTTCTTACTGGAGCATGGCAAATATTTTCAATTCTGGTTTTATAAAGTGCCTTTTGGTTTTTAAAATGATTTGTCAGGAATGTTTACTATTGTAAAAGCCTAAATGTTACAAAATGTCAAACAAAGGTGTATTTTCTCAGTGTTTTGTGTAAAACTTGAAGTCTGCTGCTGGATTTTACTGTTAAAAATATTATAGGGGAATAGGCTAAAGCAAATGCAGCATAAAATGGCATGTTAGTACCATTAAATTAGCCTAAGTGACAGGCGACATCATGTTTTAACTAGATTTGATTTATGGAATCAGCCTTCACAAGAACATTCAGTTTGCCTTACAAATATATTCATCTCCATGTCTGAAGAATCATAAATTATGGCCTGTTGGGATATTGTCATTTCCCCACTCCATTATGAACTGTTGATGAAGACAATGAAGCATAGCTTGAGGATCAAAGTAGAATTTGCATCCCAGAACTCAACATCCTTGATTTTTATTTTCAAAATTACATGCTTCTATGAGAATGTTTCCAATGGTTTCCTTCTATAAAAGGAATAGCCTCCCAAAGCTTCAGCATTTTTATTATCAAGCAGATCCTAACCAGTGGTTAGGGACCTGCTCAGAACTCGCATATTTTCAGGGATGGAGATAACTTTCAAATTTAGCTTTCTCCTGTATCTGCCCTTCCTTCCTTTTTTTTACGGACGCAAAATAATCAGTTTTAAGAAAGTATCTTGGAGGGATAGTCATATCCCTCAACAGTCAGGGAAAGGAAGGCCTACTTTCCATGCTAATGACCATCAATAGCTTTTCAACTCCACTTGTCCAACTGCATCACCAAAGGAAACCATTCCCAGTTCATTTCAATCAACCTTTCATAAACTGGTCTGCTTCCAATGTGTGTGGGTCATTGTAATCCAGTGCAACTCAAGGACACCAAATTGGCCAAGGTTGCTTTTGCTGCTTACAATAGCAGAGAATGTGCACATTGCCCCCAGTTTATTCACATCTGAGGCAATCCCTGAAATAGAGCAGAGGCACTGTCCCTGTTACCTCATTGGAAACTATATGTTTCCTAACTTCTCAAGCACATTGGCAGCCAGTTGTGTAGTAGATGAAAGTTCTTGTGTATAGCTCTTAGTATGTGACATTCTTAAATTTTAGACTATGAAGAAAGTTGGATGGGAGAAGCATTTGGCTTCTTCATGTCAATTGTTTCCCCTTTTGTTCAAAGAAAAGCAAATGGCCAAAATAAGCAACCCCATCATTGTTGGAACAAGGGATCCCTTTGTCCTTTTGAGATGAAACCTCTTCTAAAAATCTCTAATAGAAATATTAAGCTTTTCCCAGAGTGAGATTAATTGAGGTAGGAGGGTGCAATTGCAGAGGGAAGGCCGTTCAAACTGATATTGGGTTTTCCAGTGTGAAGACGCTTCTCCAATCTGGTTATCCCCTGAAACATCAGGATACAACTCCCATTGTTCTTGTGCAACATCCTTAGTTTGCTGCCATGAAATCTGGGCTTTATCATAACATGATAGAACAAAGAGAGAATGGCAGGCAAGAATTATCTCTTGCTCTTCACTACTCTTGCTTAATTTCTGAAGTGTATGTGACTGTAGTTTGTTATCTTTGACTGCCAAACTTTAATTTTTTTAAATGTTCAGCTCCAAATGCTTAATTTCCCCTTACTGTACTGTGGCATCCTTTTGAGGCAAGAAAAAAGTTTTAAATCTTAGGCAGTCTGACAACAAAGAAGCAATTCCGATATCACTTACTCAAAGCCAGTGTTTCTCAACCTCAGCAATTTTAAGATGCGTGGACTTCAACTCCTAAAATTCCCCAGCCAGAACTTCAGGAAGTTGAAGTCCATGCATTAAAGGTGTTGAAGTTGAGAAACACTGGTCTAGGTAACCAAACTCTTCAATTCTTTCAGATTCCCTCTTCTTGTAGCATTTGGAACAAATTAAAACTCTATTCAACATTTCTCTGGACCTGATATGTTTCTAAATTTTTCCTTGGTTTCTCCAGCTATAGAAGCTGGAGGAACAATATTTAAATGTCTGCATTAGCATTAGCTTTATCTGTAGGCATGTATTTGGGGGCTCACATCCATCTGAGTACCTGTTGCTGGGAAAACTGAATTTGTGATGTAAGTTAAATGTGAATATTAAGGTTAGGGTTTTCTTCTACATTTTTTACTACACAACAGCTCCTAATGGCCTTAACAATTTCATGTACCCTGTAAATTCAATCTCCCTGCCAACCTCTTTTGGAAATTATAGAAATGAGAAGCTTTTGTAGACATTTTAGAATTAGATTAACTGTTCTTAGTGAAAACACAAGCATGAAAAATTACAAATCAAAATGAAGGCTGAAATCCTGTAACATTCTGAGAACTTCTAGCTAACGGAATACAGATGGTATTTACAAATTGTCAGGGTTAATATGTTACATTAGACGTCAGTAAAACAAATCTGAGATGCAGTATAAAGTCCACTCCAGTCACTCAGTTCTTTATGAGGACCACATTTCCATGGTAACAATATGGCAGACATTTGCCACTGCTTTCTTCCTGGGATTTTATTTCAATTGTTGAATTTAAACTGTAGTTTTTAAGGATTTCCTTGTGGTACCCCATTCAAATGCTAATCAAATACTGCACATTTCTGCCTTTCTGAAATCAGTCAACTTTAGCCCACATTCTGTTCTCTGCTGTGAAAAAGCATCATATAAAATCTCTCAGAGGCCTTTTATTGAAATAATATGGTAGGCTGAGTTTACAAAGTACAAGTTGTGATCTTACTTTTCATTTACCACTTCCCCTATTTTCACTGGACACGTGGATGCCTTTTAAAAATCAGGCTCAATTGCTAATATGGATACAGCAAATAGGTTTTCTCACCTATAAATATACATTCCAGCAAGCAACTATTATGGTATCCATCATACAGCACAGTTTAGACATATGGTTACCTGTATGTAAGTATGTGTGACTTGGATGTGCACATGAAATTCAGGGAAAATTGCCATAGAACCTTATTCAATAACCTGGTTATAATTTTCATCTCTTCAAGGTGTTTGAGAGAAGTGCCTTAAAATATTTTTTGAAGTGAATGGGGTGAAGGGATAAACAGTGTTTGCTCAGTTACTTTAGCATTGCTGTGGGTCATTTTTGCCTTTCCAGAAAACAGTATGAAAGAAATAATAAAAGTTGCTGTATAGTAACTACAATGTTTCTGCTGTTGTATTTAATTCCCTGGTGTTTCTCCTCTTATTTCTTGTGATTGCATCACAAATAGTCAGCTAACATTTCTGTTTAATCTGTGAATCATCAGAACATGTGGACTTTTGTTCTGTTTTCACTTTGCAATGAGTGGTGTGTGGAGATACTTGAATAGCAAATGGGAAATTGGTATTTCTTCTTATCCCACTGGCAATACTACTTCAAACAATGTCCTCTTCTGGAAATATTTTTTAGTCTGACATCCAAGGCAGGGCAGCCGAGCTTCTCCCTGCGCCGCTTAGTCATCTCAGGAGTCCTGGATCCTGCAGGAAGACGACAGCTCCTTCCCCTCCTTCATTCTGGATTGATTATAGGGTGGAGGCTGAAGAAGCCCACTCTGGCTGTTTTCAGGCAAAGGGCTCCTGCATCTACCAATTAAAGCAAACCCAGTCTTGTGAAAAGCAGAATGTACAATAAGTTGCCCCTTTCATTTATGGCAATTAAATGGCACAAAGCAAAATAAAAATAGTGAAAGCCATGATTATGGTTATATTTTCAGCGGTTATAATAATCTTGGTCATAAATGATAACCAAAACTCTCATTTCCACAGCCATTTGTATGGCTAGGTGTCACTGTGTTCTACATTTATTTTATCCAGACATCTTGCAATCCTTGCAGTAAAGTCTGCCAGCTGGTATATTTTCACAGCAGCTTCATGTGGATGACCACTGCCTGGATCTGTGTAGACTCCACTATTATATACAGGCAGTCCTCAACTTACAATCATAACTGAGTTCAAATTTTCTGTTGTTAAAGTCAGATATTTGTTAAGTGGGTTTTGCCCCATTTTAGGATCTTTCTTGCCATAGTTGTTAAGTGAATCACTGCAGCTGTTAAATTNCCTGCCTAGGCAGGGGGTTGGATTAGAAGACCTCCAAGGTCCCTTCCAACTCTGTTATTGTATTGTATTGTATTATAATACTCACATTTCAAATTTTTCACATTTCAAATCAACTTTAGATTAAAAGGCATTGTTATCCGAGTGTTTTTACAGGAGTCATGGTACAAGATTTTAAAGGGCCTAATTTCCTAATACAAAGTATTTAAAGACCTAATTCCCACAATGGAAGAATGGATGATAAAGGTGATGGAGTTGGCAGAAATGCCAAAGTTGTTTTAGCATTTAGGGGTGTCAAACTCACGGCCTGTGGGCCAGATGTGTCATATGCTGGCCATGCCCACCCCTGGTTTAGCAAAGGCGGGAAAGTTGCGATATATCATGTGATGACAACATGTCATCGCAAGTTTCACATCCCTGATCTAAAGTGAAGAACCTATCCAGTTTTGTTTCTATTTGGAAACCACTTCTGAACTTTTTGCTTAAAACTGAGCAAAAATCAAACTTCAATTTTAGACTCTGATTAGAATTTGTTGTTAAAGAAATGACTTGAAATGTTTAGAAATATAAAGCAAAAGCTTGAGATTGAAATTTGTTCAAATTCTACTGCACTGAAAAAATATCAGTCACTACTTTTTTCTTTATATTTGTACCCTTTTTTCTTCTTTTCCCTTTCTTACTTTTGTTTCTTTCTGTATTTTTTGAACTTTTTTATTTTATTCAGAAAATTAAGGTAAAATATAAACTCCAAAAAAAGGAAAAAAGAAATTTTACAAAAGCAAAACAAAGATAGACAAACCATTACAAAAGTTAAAAACAGAAGTGCATTAAAAAGACAAAGGACAAAAGCTCATACGCATATATTATCCCCCTCAGTTGAATACTGATAGATACATTGGAACATTATTACTCCCTCCCCCTAGTGAAGCAGCCCAAAATTTATAAACTTCTACCTCTATTTGCAAGCAATTTGATCTGTCTGCTATATATAAAGGCAAAGTAGTTAACACATGAACCAACAGCAAAGTTAAACTTCAAAACCCTCTGTTAACAATTTATTATTGTGTTTAACTTGTAGAAAATCTACAATGCCTTCTTTATGGATCTACCACAAATCACTACAATCATTATCTCTGATCCATCCAGGATCAAATATCCTTGATTGGTTCTTAATAATAAAACTTCTTAAGATTTTGGTTGAAAACTTTTCCAACAATTGTGTCTTATTCCTCAAAATCATAAATAACTGTTGCCAATCCATTTTTCCAAAAAGGTCCAGTCCAAATTGTTTTCCAGTTAGATATTCTGCTCCGGAGCTCCCGACCTCGCAGGCGCCACTGCAGGGCAAAGGCCTTCAGGCCAGGGCAGCAGATGGGCAGGAGGGAAGCCCTGATTTGTCCTCTTCCCTGAAGTCAACAGCAGGAGGTTGGGCCATTTATGGGGGTCTTTGTGTCAAGGATCCCATGAGAACACACCCCCATTCCCCTGGCTGAGCTCTCAGCTCTTTTTCTCACACCTTTCCTAGTCTGCCCACCTCCCATCTCAGCATCTCTGCCTCCTTTTCTTTCTTTCGCGCATGTGCGAGTTCGGAATGGCCGCTCCGCTTTCTGCTCCGTTTCAAGCTGACG